TGTGACCTAGCAATTCCTAGTGATTTGCTCAAGAGAAATGAACATATATGTTCATAGAAGCAGGATTATTTATAACACAGTGTAGTCTCAAACTGGAACCATTAAAGTAACCATTACCAAGTGACTGAATGTATTAATTGCTTTACCTTCATATGATGGGGTTCATCTCTACAATAATAACTACTGATACACTCAAGAAATAGGAGGGATTTCATAGACATTGTGGTGAGTGGAAACATTCAGACACAAAAGATTACATACTTGGTGATTTCATTTAAATGAAATCCTTGCACTGCTGAAACTAAACTACAGCATGTCATGTTACAAGAACTTTAGTGCCAACATGTAGAGGCTTTCCATTAGCCAAAAATGGGCATCTGTCTAGGATAATAACTGCAATAGATTGTAAACATATCAAATATGTTTACATATAAGACTTTAAAATGACAACAAAAATAATTCGTTCATAATTTGGAGAAGACTAAGGAGTAAACTTGTGAATGCTTGTAAATAAAAGAGAAAGTATCAAGCACTTATTCTGCTTTTCCTATATCATCTGTACTATATAATTACTAAGAGGAGACTCCTTTTCACAGAAGTATTATAGCTAACACATAAAGAAAACGTGATGGAATTGACAGTGACCATTTTGAAAGAGAAATAATACATCTTGCCACTGAGCATCAGTGACTGGTAATATCAAACACAGGCAAACAGAAGACAGCCAGATGTTATATTACTCATGGTGGATCTGTGCCCTGACATGTATGAAGTATCCTTAACACAAAAAATAATAAATCTGAATCAGTGCCACCTCTGTATCATCAATTTACAGAAAATATAGGTAACAGAAGACATGTTAGATGACACGAGAGAAGTGCTATCACAAAAATTTAAACTGTGGGAAACTACAAGAAAGATACTGTTCCTTCCACATGTAGATTGCAAGAATAAAAGAATCGTAGAGAAAATTTATAGATTAATAGAGACTTAGGAAATATTTCTGTCATTTGCCATGCATGGCATTTACCTGGATTATGATTTGAACAAATGCTTTGTTAAAATTCTATGAGGAAATCAGGCCAATCAGGACAATCAGGAAATACGAATGCTAGGTGAATATTTGTTCGTATTAATAAATGTTTGTGAACTTTTAAATTTTTCTAAGTATATTGTGGTTATACTTTTAAAATGTTCTTAGCTTCCAGAAAAAAATATGAAAATCCTTATAGATATTATGTTATTTTATATTATGGTAGGTATTTGCTTCAGAATAATTTGGTAAGTGGTGCTAGTGTGGTGCTGGTTATAGATGAAACAAGATTGTCTATCAGCTGCCAATTATTAAATCTTGGTTAATAGGTACTTTGGGGTCTTTTATGCAATTTTCTCTATTATTGTATATAATTGAAATTTTTCACAGTAAAGAGATTAAAAAAAAGAAGTAAAGTGTCACTCTATTCCTCAAGTCAGGCATGGATTTTAGTTGGTGAATCACTGAGCACCATCAAAGCAAAATGGTAGTTGACAATAGCTTACACAAAGATATAATGCTAAGTAAATGTCCAACAGATACTTGCAGATTTTGTTCACTGCTTTCCCTTGGCTTTTAAGCAACAACGCATTTTCATTACATAGTTCTCATATCCAGTTTATCATTCATAGAGATCTGATCTTAATTTTTTTTTTAAATGTGTTCTGAGTTTGTTGCTATTTCAAAGATCACAGACAACATAAATGTCCAATTTACTTCTTCTTAGTAATCAGTCTAGTCATGAACATGGTTTCTTGAAATAAAATTGTATCAATTTTAGTAAGACATTCTGTTCATTCTGACTTAATAGCATTTTTTTATGTGATCCTGAAATATAAGTGTTATCTAAGAGGTTACCCAGTCAATGTCGTTGACTACACCCTGTGAGACAACGCAAGTTAAATGAAGAAGTCATTTCAGGAACATTCAAAAAGGTTAACTGTAAAAATTCAAGATGACCGAAATGCTATATTTGCTTTTTCACTTGGGGCTGGGAGGAGGATGGTGGTAGAGATGTAGGAGGTTTTCATAACTGAGACCCAGCAATGATCAGATATTCGATAAATAATTGTAGAATGGAGGAGTTAAAATACAGGATATCTAAAAGTGCCATATATTAAGGATATGGTGAATATAAACATAAATATCTGTTGGGGTTTTATTTAGATGCTCCTCAATTGTTGCAATAAATATATTGAAACGAATGAAATTAGCATGATCATTGTGAGTACTATGGTGGAATGAAAAGTTGATTACATTTGCTTGAGAAATGGTCAGGAGTTGAGAAGGTATATTCCAAATAGACTAAAATAACCTAATGGGTCAATTTCTCAACCAAGAATATGTATTTTCTATAGATATTTATTAAGTTTATTTATAAATACCTACTCTTAAATCTATTATCATTGTGAAACTTTTAAAAATAATCTCAGGCCGAACGAATGTTTTTCCTTTGATCCCTCAAACGTAATTGCTAATTGCTATTTAGCCTTATTCTATTTTGTCTTACATGCTATTTACTATTTTGCCAAGCAAAGATGAATTCCTTGTATGTGTAATAGATTTCTTCAATACTGTACTAAGTGTCTGAGGAAATAAATGTAATCAAAGAAATTTCATGCTTGTGAAAATAACTTAAAATTTTAAGGTCTCCAGAAAGGAGATTCTACAGATTCTCTTAAAGTAAATGAAATAGCTAATGTCTGTTTTTCTAGCTATTTTGTTTACACTGATGCTCACTAACCGTTGACAACTATTTAGTTTAAGAGGCTGTGAGGGAGGCTGCTAGTTGCCTGCTAGCCATCTATCTCTTCTTTTTCAGTAATTGAACTCCTATGTTATTTTGGATGGCAATGTGCCCAGTAGTTAGCAACTACATCTATAGTTTTCTCTTACATAAATAGGGTTTGCGTGAAATTTAAGTAAAATTCTGATACAGCCTCTGAGAAAACTCACTTCATTCTTCCTCCTTCCTGGACTGTGGATGTGATGGTTGGAGCTCCAACTATACCCGTAAGGTGAACTTGAGGACAGAAGCCAAATGCTAAGGATGGAGGAACAAAAAGATAGGAGACTGGATTCCAGCTTATATTGCAGAGTTACCATACCTGATCTTGACTACCAACTGCTAAATTTTGTGTATGTGAGAGAAAAATAGACAGTAAGTTTAAGGCATTGTGTTGGCAGGGAGGAAGGGTTTGACTACCAGCTGAATGCAATTCCTGTGTAATACACTCCACATATATTTTAAGACACAGTAAATCAGTTATATTTTCTTATAATGATTACCTCCAGCTCTTTAAACCTTAATTTGATGATTAATTCACTGGCAATTAGCATTACTAGGACTATTGCAAAATCTATCCAAATTTTCCATTTTGAGGATGGCTCTATAAAAGACATAAAAATGCCAGGAGGCCTTCATGTAGAGGGAAGAAATGTGTAACATTATATGATGAGAATTGCTTTCATTATTATGATATGGATATGTAGTTATGTTATTTGCCATTCAGGAATACAAGAAACATTGTGTAACTCTTAAAGACTGAAAGAAAAAGTAATACAACATTTTTGAAGATAATAACATTAAAAGTAACTATGCAATTTCTCTAAATATACATTAAGCCTTAACGACTAAGATGAATAAAATGAATTTGGCTTCTAGTTGCAAATCTCATATTTTTTTTTCCCCCAAATTGGAGTCAGATGTTTCTAAATATCTGTCCTCATGGAATATTCCCAAAGATTTTTACATGTGTAGTTTTTTGTTGTAGTTTGAAGTTAATTAGATTTTTTTTCTAATATTGACTGCAATTAAACTACATTCTGGGCATACATAATTCAGATTTTAAGAAAATTAATTCAGCTTAGCCAGTTTATGGATTAGTTGGCATTTAATACATTTTATAAAATAATCTATTACAGTTTACACAAAGTATAAAAGTAAAAAAAATGCAGATAAGGGAGATAGGGAAAGAAAAATTTCTATGCACTTGAGATGATAAAAAATAAATTTAGAAAAGAATCAGCTTTATCAGTAATGCCTGTTTAAAATGATTTGCTTTTTAAAGTTCAAAGTTTACTATAAAGGGTATTTGAAGAGTCAATAAAATCTGTTAATGATTTTCTTTTCTTTTTTTCTTTTCTTTTTTCTTTCTTTTTTTTTTTTTTTGAGACGGAGTCTCACTCTGTCGTCCAGGCTGGAGTGCAGTAATCGGATCTCGGCTCACTGCAAGCTCCGCCTCCCGGGTTTACGCCATTCTCCTGCCTCAGCCTCCCAAGTAGCTGGGACTACAGGCGCCCGCCACCTCGCCCGGCTAGTTTTTTTTGTATTTTTTTAGTAGAGACGGAGTTTCACCGTGTTAGCCAGGATGGTCTCGATCTCCTGACCTCGTGATCCACCCGTCTCGGCCTCCCAAAGTGCTGGGATTACCGGCTTGAACCACCGTGCCCGGCCAATTTTCATATTTTTAACAAGGGCAACATGGTTCTATTAGTGGTCATGCTTTTCGATTTGTGTATTTAAACATACTTTAATACCCTATTTAATGTAAGTCTCTTAGGCTTCATTTTTTCCATTTGCAAAGTAGTTCTCAGAATAATCCTTGTGAACCTGCCTCAGCAACCAATTTTCTGAAAGTATTTTGCTTTCCTCTGGTTGGTAGCATTGGTGATTTTGGTACTTAAATGAAAATATCTTTTTTTTTTCCTAAAAATGTTGGTCTAAAGTCTTTGGAATGGAAAGAGTGGATAAAATGAGAATTGAAGTTGACAGCTGCTAACCTAAGGGGATTCATGACTGTCTGCAAACTACACGAAGGAGTCTTCCTACAGAACAAATATAGATGAACTTAATGTTTTCTTGCAGTTTGTTTTTTGTTTCCAGTCTTCAAAGTTGGAAAAGTTTTGTGTTTTCCAATTGCAAAGAATTGGCCTACAAAATCTATGAATCATAAGTTAAAGTACATAGTTGTTGTATTTAGTTTTATTTTTAGTGTTGTGCATTTTATAACACAGGTTATTTACTGCAAACTTATTTGCTCAAGTTCCTCAAGTATTGTGCCATGACTTACACATTTACCAGGGTAAAATAGGACAAATTTCAATATCAACACTTATTTTAAGGCACCAACATTTATTTCCTCAAGTATTGTGCCATGACTTGCACATTTACCACAGGGAAGGGCATGTAGGTGAAGCAAACTTCCTCGATTTTCAGGTAGGAATCTTCCAACTACTATTGGCAGCAATGCAGATTGTCAAATGCACACCTAAACTTAAGATTTGGGGATAATTCAGAAAGAATTCCAAGATGTTTATCCTAAAGATGATGTCTTAGTTACACTTAAATAGAGGCAAATTAAGCTTGAAAGTAATCGTTAAACACGAAATAGTTCCTGGGATCTGCTACACTCAATTAAATAAGCCAAATTTATTTTTCTCCAGTTCTATATCAGGTCGTGGGGGAAAAGTGAGGAATTCTGGATTTGGAGCTTGAGGTCCTGGATTCAAGTTCCAACTCTGCAGCTTACTGCCTCTATCACCTTTTGAGGTACTGCTATGTCTCAGCATAATTCTTATCTGAAAGAGAACAATTGAGTAACTGTATAAATAACACATTTTCTATGTTCTCATTGTTCAAAAGACCACAGTATTTAGTTTGTATATTGCTATGGATATTACTATGGATCAATATTAAGTTTGACGTAACATTAACCTTAACATTTCATATTGCTTTCTGAGTTACACTTTAAGTCTTGGCTCTAGATGCATTATTGTGAAGTAATATCTATGTGCTAATTTTCTCATTAATTAGTATGCCCTTGGCATATGGCACCATATGCTGCAAACTTCCAAAAAAATAACATAGCATAACTTTATTACTGCAAATCATAACATTGGCAATGCATGAGTTAGTAAGCACAGTGATATTTAACAGAACCTGCAAACAATTATTATAGCATATTTAGTATGCACTTCATCAAAGTCTTGTGTGTAGTCTAAAAGACAGTAACCAATATAGTTATATCAAAAAAATACTAATGCGATGACAAATATGGTTAATAATTGTTGTACATATGTACTCTCCATGTGGTATTTAAGAAATGTTTGTATTACTGTTTTCATGTAGTCTGGTTAAAATGATGCCCTCTAAAATATAAGATCACCCTCAGTCATGGAAGGAAATAAAATATACATTTCTGAAAATGTTTACTTACAATTTTGTGCATATCCTACAATTACTTAATATCTATGTAAACATATTTTATTAAAAACACATTTGGATGTTAATTTCTTTTCTTGAAATACTCATTAGACTTTTTCTACAAATATATGCTTTCATACTCCTATAGGGGACTGCCACTTTTTATTGTTGTTTTTTAGACATAGGCGTATTCTGTTAAAATTAATTGGATATGACCTCTAATTAGCAAATTGAAAAGTGTGAAGAGACAAGAGTAAATGATGGCATTACATCACTAACCACCTGATATGGTTTGGATGTTTGTCTGCTCCAAATCTCATGTTTAAACGTGATTCCTAATGTTGGAGGTGGGGCCTGGTGGGAGGTGATTGGATTAAAGGAGCAGATCTCTCATGAATGAAAGCAGATCTCTCACGAATAAGAGCAGATTTCTCATGAATGCACCATCTCTTTGGTGATAAATGAATTCTTGCTCGGTTAGTTCATATGAGATCTGTTTAAAAGAGTCTGGGACCTCCCTGGTGTTTCTCTCTTGTCCTCTCTTTGGTCATGTGATGGAACCTACTTTCTTTCACCTTCCGCCAAGAGTAAAATTCCACAAGGGCTCACCAGAAGCCAAGCAAATACTGGTGCCGTGCTTCCTGTATAGCCCGCAGAATGTGAGCTAGTTAAGCCTCCTTTATTTATAAATTACCCAGTCTCATATATTTATAGCAAATCTGAAAATGACCTAATACTCTACCATCCACCATCTTTTCAACCAGTAAGTTCTTTCAGAGTTTATTGCTTCAGTGACATGAGTCTGTTCCCCAGGTGTAGTCACTTACATGCCTCCTCTGTGTCTATATATTATAATTTATCGATCTTTTAATATTTTGTTAGGGTAAAATGTTCTTCCTTTCTGTGTTTCTCTATCCTAGGGGGAGGGGAACTCCCTGCCCATCAACTTTTAAATGAAAAATCTTTAAAGCAAAGCCAAAGATTATTTTAAAAGAGTGTAATTTTTTTAAACTGAAGGAAGCGATCTTAGGAATAATAAAATGTACCTGGTTAGTTTTACTCTTAACAGAAATAAAATCCAGTGAGATTCAACAAATTGTCAAGTTACATACCTCAGAATGACAAATTTGGGACCAGAATCTAGATCTCGTGTATCTGATGGTGTTCTTTGAATTGTGTCCAAGTATTTTTGTTCCTTAAGGAGGGCTGTGGAACAAATCAAGGTGATAGGCATGAATATTTATTATTACCACAGAGTAAGGAATCCAAAGGTTCTGAGGTGTTATCTCTTTTTGAAACTTACTGCCTATTAATGGAACTCATCTTTTGAATAAGGTATGAGAATGACAATATATTCTCCCTTAATTTGGGGGCCTTTTTTCAATAAATTAAGTGTGTAGCATTCTCTGCTATAGACTGATTTGGTAGAAAACATAAAGGTTCTGTGTAATATCAACCAACATCCTATCAGTTATATTTATGTAAATTTATATGACTAAATTTATATTAAAAATTTAAAAGCTAAAAGTAGGATCACCTTAAAATAAGACAAATTTGAATATCAACATTCATTTTCACTAAATGATTGACACAATGACAGACAAATAATCTAATATAACAGACTACAGGAATAAGTGTACACATGTACAATGACTGTTAATTTATAATAAAGATGTAGCAGCAAATCGTAAGACAAGAGTGGATTTTCTCGGTGAATAGTGCTGGGTCTAATGTACATACAAAAACACAGGAAAATCATCAATCGGTACTTGACACCCTAGATAAATTTCAATTCCAGGTTAATTCTGTGTCTAAATGTAAATGACAAATAATAAGGCGTCTTAAAGGTAATAACAAGTAATTTTTAATGAAAGATTATAATATAGGACATAAACAGTACTAACAAAAATATTAGTAATGCTTTCATTAAAATAAAGAATTCCCACTTATCAAAAGATGCTATTATTAAGAGAGGGAAAAGTCAAGTCTTTGAGTAGGTGAATATATTTGCAATATGTATAATAGTCAGAAGTTTCATGTTCAAGATACATAAAGATCTCCTCCAAATAAATAAAAATGAGACAGATGGTCCAATAGAAAAATATATGAGAGAACTGAACAAACTCTTCATACAGGAGGATATCCAAATGGCCAATAAATATATTAGAAGGTGCTTAGCTTCATTCCACTTCAAATAAATGAAATCTCATTACAATATCAACCATAATGAATGAAATTAAAAATACAAATAATACCAAGTGCTCACAGTGATATAGAACAATCCTATTTCTGATGAGACAATAAATTGTTGACTCTTTTTTGAAAACTACTAAACAGTGTCTTCTAAAGCTTAGCACATATACACTCTATAACCTAAGAATTCCATTCCAAAGTATATTCCCAACAAACATGCACATATGTGCACCAAAGGACATGCACAAAAATGTCAGAGAAGTATCATTTTTTCTGTATTTTTATTTTGGCGAAATAACATAACATTATGTTTACCATGATAACCATTTAAATGTAAAATTAAGAGTATGAACTATATTTACATTGTTGAGCAACTGATCTCTAGAAATTTTTCATCTGAAACTCTATACTCAGCATTAATTTCCTCTCTCACATGTCCCTCCCGCAGCCTTGGCAACTACCTTGCTGCTTTCTATTTCTATGCTTTCAACTAATTCAAATACTTTGTAGGAGTAGAACCATATAGTATTTGTCATTTTGTGACTACTTTAATTTGCTTAGCATAATATGCTTAAGTTTGGTCCTGTTGTGGCATATGATAGGATTTCTTTTCTTTATAAGGCCAAATAATCTATTGTGTGAATATATTACATTTTCTTTGTCTATTCATCTGTTGAGGGATATTTGATTTGCTTCCACCTCTTGCCTATTGTAAATAATGATGCTATGAATATGGGTGTGCAATTATATCTTGGAGATCTTGCTTTGAATTCTTTTGGTAAATACCCAAAAGTGGTATTGCCAAATCGCATGGAATTTCTATACTATTTTTTATAGTGAAAAAAACCATTTTACATTCCCACCAATAGTGCACAAGGGCACAACTTCTCCACATCCTTGCCAACACTTGTTATTTTATTTTTTGTCTGTTTGTTTGTTTGGTTGGTTTTTTTGATAGGCCATCCTGATAGATGTGACATTATAATCTCATTGTTGTTTTGATTTGTGTTTCTCCCACAATTAGTAATGTTAAACATCTTTATGTTTATTAATTATTTGTATATCTTTTAGATATTACCTATTCACATTCTTTGCTCACTTTTAATCAACTTTAATTTTGTTGTTCCTGAGTTGCAGAAGTTCCTTATAAATTCTAGATGCTAATCTCTTATCAGATATGATTTGCAAATATTTTTTCTTTGCAGATTGCATTTTTACTCTGTTGACTGTTTCTTTGGGGGCACAGAAGTTTTTGAGTTTGATGTGTTCTTATTTGTCTATGTTTGCTAAGAGAGCATTATTTTCACTAGCCCCAAAGTGAAAACCTCCAAAATGTCCATTATTAGTGGATGAATAAATAAGCCGTGGCATATTCATATCTTAGAATACTATATGAAGAAATATTTCAAGAAATATGAAATAACTGCTGGTAAATTAATAGTATAAATTGATTCTGCAAACACATATTGAGTGAAAGAAACCAGTCAAAAATGTATACTGTATGCTTCATTGATTTAAAGTTCCAAAGTAGGAAAAATTAATCATGGCTGTTATAATTCACAGAGAAAATACCTTTGGTGATGAAGGAAGGGTCACCATTATAAAATAACATGAGAGAGGCTTCTGGTGTGGTTGCAATACCAGCTATTTTTCTTGAGTTTGGTGCTAATCATCTTTGTATTCTTATTTTGTGATAACTATTTGAACTCTACACATATGAATTGAACATATTCATATGTGCTATTCTTCACTGAAAAATATGAAACATAAAGCTTATCAAGGAATGAAAAGTTGAGTAATATTACCACAGCCTGCTCATAAACTCTGAAGCTCTAGTCCTCTACTTGTTTTATACAATTTTCAATTCAGACAAACTTTGATTTTTCTGTATCTATTTTTACAACCACACCTTAAATAAAATTAATCCTACTGCTAATATCTACTACCATCAGCCAATTCATGGTATCACAGATATTTGTAGCACACTGAAGAAAGAAAAATTTTAAGCATTCCTAGATCAAATTTTGTTTAGCTGTATTTATGTCACTTGAAGAATATAATAATTTCTCTGCTAAATTACCTACATAGATAATTTAAGGCTTAGAATGCAATTAAATCAGCTTGCTGGACATTTAACCACAGGAACACAATATACTTGGAGATTTAAGTGTGAGTTGAGAGCCTTATTTGCAGTCTTATTTCTAAAAGCTTCATTAATTTTAAGCCTCATTCTGGTGAGTTTGGCTATCTAGTCGATATTGGGAAAGTAGCTGAAGGAAATAACTTTTATTTACTCTGATCCATCTATATCTGAAATAGAATTATGATAATGTTCTTTAGTATATTTTATATCCCCAGGCACCTGGAAATGATTTATCTGAAGCAGTACCCAGGCAAAAATCAAGCAGATGATATTTTTTAGAAATGTTCTATCTCAACCCAAATGAACATAAGTTTATTTAAGGGGCCTAAAGACAACATTTAGGTCATCACAAATATATGAATAAACTGTGAACACCTAAAGCAACTATTTCTAAGCGAAATAAGTTATATATTAGCATAAATACTAATGATATGGATGGAGAATTTAAGTTTTACTTTGATGAGTTCAAAGTAAATAGTACTATTCAACTTCTTTCAATTGTTCATGTTTGCTTCTATGGGTGATATTTACATGTGCTACTTTTGTGGCAAGTATTAGAAATAATTATGAACTTAATATAGTTTGTGCAGTCCCATATTTTGTTGCCTTATATTTCACTCGAGCTCATTTCACCTGCTAATACGTACTTTATATTTTTCTACATTTCTATATTCTTTACTGAAAAAATAACATTTTTGAACAGATAAATATAATGACACATAATCAAGGCAGTGTTTAACAATCCATATTTTGATGCTGTATTAGAAACATATTTTTGCAGAAGTGAGAAGCAATATAATTTTCTTAATAAAAAATTGCAACTGGCTGGATAGGCATCATTGTAAATGTCTATCTGAGGATATGGTATTTAACAAATTCTTGAATATAGCATTTGAGAATTTTATTAAATATGATGTATATTGGTATTGGTATGTGATATACTTTTAAATAAAATATACCTAAATTATTGTGTAAAATTATTTTTTATGAGATCTTAGGACTGTAAATGCATTTAATGATGCTACACTCTATTATTTTACTGAAATAACAGATTTTTGAAAACTCATTCACCTAGCATGTTGCCAACTGTTAAGTACTTGAAAGACAATGATTAAGACAAAGTAAGATATATATCAAAGGCAAATTCAATCAGTCTCCTCCTACTGCAATGCTAATAATACAGCTTTAGATCAGTGTTTGATTATCTTAGTAAGAATGTAGATAGGCTCTGTGACTTTAACGTACTCCTTATATTATCTGGAGGGATTTTAATTATTGCATAGATTAAAATATAATTTGCAAAAGAGCAAAATCATGTCCTTCAGGCAAATATAAAATAAATATGTCAAATATTTTATTTAACTCTTTTATTAGTAAAGAAACCTATAAGATGGTATGACTGGTTCAAACAGCACTTAAGAAGTTAGGTTATTTGTAGTCAATTTATTAAAAAACAATTTATTATAAGATTGCTGAGTTGGATACAAAACTCTTTAATTTTCAGTAGTTTATGAATTGTGGAAGTTATCTGTTCTAACAGACAAATTGTTTCCACCTTTATTGGACAAATTCTGCAAATTAACAAGTAATGAAATCTGTGACCTTTAATAGTAAAATGAACCAGGTGCATTCTCCTGGACAATCCTTGCGAAGCTTTTACCTCTGTATAAAACTGAAAGGATGTGTAACCCACATTATTTTCCTTATTATTAAGTTTTGGACAATTTTTCTTTTATAAAATAGATATGCAACTTATCTTTATACAATATAGAATTTAAAATTGACAAATAGAGTTTTCCTCACTTAAGACTATTTGGGTAGAAGAGGTAAAATTATTCCCTAATTCAAGTGCCAGGCTAC